TTTGTTAGGATGTATAGTTTTTGGCTTTGAGATGTTATGTGTCATGGTAAACAGAATAATGGCTCCCAGAGATGTCTGTGACCCAGTTCCCCCAAGCAAGTTTATTCCATATTATCCGAGTGGGCCGAGTGTGACCACAAGAGTCCTTTTAAGTGGAAGGGGAAGGCAAAAGAGAACTCAGCGATATGATGGGAGAAGGACTCACCCACCCTTGTTGTCCTCGAAGATGGGAAAAGGAGTCTTCAGCCCAGGCACAAAGGCATCTTCAAGGAGCTGGAAAAGGACAGGGTCACAATTTCCCCTGGAGCCTCCTGAAGGAATCAGCCCTGCTGAGACTTTGATTGAATCCCTAGTGAGACTGTGTGGGATGACTTAAAGAATCATAAGATAAGAAAATTGTGTTTTATTATGCTACTAAATTTGTGGAAATTTGTTATAGCATCAATAGGCAATTAAAATACATGTTGATATTAGAGTGTACTGTCCAGGGTATAAACGTGTCCTTAACATTTCCAAATTCCTGGCAGGACACTGCTCTGTTATGACCACATTCCACCAACTCAGGGACCGTGTGTCCTCAACAGTGCTGAAGCAAGTGTTCTGAAAAGCGTGCCAAGGGGAGGGCCCCCTTGTGACCCCTGTTGTCAGGGAGGAGAGCAGAGGACACTCGAAACCTCACAGATGAGGCTAATTGCAATATGCATTGGTAAGAATTCAATCTGACTTTGTGCTTTTTGATTCTCTGAGTCTTATGTCTGAAAATGAGCTGTTTGACATAACTTATCCCACTGCAGGACAGTCTCTCACTGATTTGTGACTCCAAGATCATGACCTACAGTAGCTGCCATCCTCAGGTGTTTGTTGCCATTTGTGTACATAAGAGGAAGTGTCAATTATTTTTATGCAACAGGAAGAATAGCTCAGGGTCTTGGAATGATCTGGACAGGAACGTTAAATGCTTGTCTCATATATATTCGTCCCACATCATCCATTTGAACTTATTAAGTCATTTAATTGCTCAGAAGCACCAAATTACTTTTTTTCCTAACACATTACAATTGTAAATTTGCTTGTTTGTTTCAACACTGGTAGTTGAGGCAAAAACCCAATCTTTTGTTCAGAGTATGAGAAACCATTGCACTCTTTGTTTTTCTTTTCCTTGGGTAACTGAGAGAAGGAGGCAGGTGTTTGAAAAGGAGGTGAAGATGGCAGAAAGCCACAGGGAGGACCAGGGCTGGTTTGGTATTCACACACGCAGCCTGGGTGCCAAAGGCCTGGGAGTGTTGCAGCCTGTGTACAGTGCTGGCTGATCTCACAGGCCACTGCTACATCCTGGAGGCCATCTGTCCTCCTTCAGCGAGTGGCCTGGCAGGCAGCTGTTTGCATCACCGGGCTGGGAGGAGGGCAGAACCCACACTCTCTTTTCTCTCCTCTTCCACCCCCAAGAAAGCAAGCTTTTGACTCCTAGGGACAACAGTGGAAACTGGCCCTCGTGTCCTGCAACTGCAGCTATTCAAAGTCACTTGGAGTGCCTGGCTGGCCCTGCTCCCTCAGCAGTAAGGGAGCTCTGCATGCCTGCCAAATTAACCCCATGAGCCACCTTCGTTGCTGTCCCCCAACTCGCCTTCTGGGCCTGGGTCTGCTCTGTGAGTGCATCATCCCTGAGCACCAGTGTCAAATCCAGCTGCCCTGAACCCTAGCTTTTCTGTTCCAACTCAGATAGGCCAGTGCCCCCAGTTCTATGAGCATGTGGAACTAAGGGAAGACGAAGTCTCCTTAGTGTTGTTGTTTTTTTTTTTTCACTCAGCACCTCAATTCTCAGACATCAGTATGCAAACATTCTCCCCTAGAATTTGTTGAAAATGCAAATTTCCTGGCTCCATTCCCCTAGTGTCTCAGCAAGTAGGTACAGGATGGATGCAGAATCTGCACCAAGGTCTTGACACCATGAGAAATGCTGACTTGGGATCTCTTTGTTTTACAATGAATGTCCTAGTTTCATAAAAACTGTATTATGCCAGGTGAAAGTCTCCACATATGGAACCCCTTGAGAACCCTTAGGATAGCCTGCTGCAGGACACCTGGATGATCTCCTCCGGGGGCCATCTGTGTGACTGTGGTCAATGGGGAGAAAGAGGGACAGGGAAACAGGCCTTTACAGCTGGCTGACAGCCCAAGGAAAACTGAAGGTTAAGGAGACTCCCATCTTCCCCACCCAGCCAGTGGGCCCCAGCCATGGCCCAGACAGTGCAAAGAAGGAGGGTACAGCAGGGTGCTGTCTCCTCCAAGTGGTCCCTCTAATCCAGGTCAGGGGATCCTTCACTGCATCAAGGGGTTCCTGCAGCCTTATTCAGAGGGAGGAAAAGACAAGAGGGGTATGGCAGACAACAGTAGGGGTGCATGTCACCTGTGTGACTCTGGACTTGTTGATGTGCTCTGGGGTTCACAGGACTCAGGAAGAGGGCCCATGACCCTATGGGTTGAGCAGGAGCTGTGCCCACAGGCCTGAGAGCTGAGATGGCCATGGAGCCAGCCTCAGTCCCCAAGCAGAGGAGCAGCAGGACAGACCTGTTCTCCCCACCCAGGCCCCTGCACACACTTCAACGCCTGTAATCTTTCAGTGTCCACAGATGGTAGCATCAGCCAGACTAATGGCCTCCTGGAAACTGGGTCTCCTATGAATATGAGACAAGTGGGGGTAGGAGCTGTTTACTGGGAGGCTGGCATGGAGCTGCAGGTTCTACTGACCCCACTGACCCTGCCCTCTGCTCACCCTCTCTGTCCACGAGCAGCAGAAACTTCAGGTCCCCAGCTGGCACCCATCCAGCTTCTGTTCTCTCTGTTCCCCCAACCCCTCCCCTCCAGTCCCACTTCCAGTCCTACAGCCTCCCTCCAGTGTGTCCTAGCAGGAAAGCAACTAGATGGCTCTGTCTTGAGCAGCTGTTGTGTGCTGGGCTGTTCTAGGTGCTGGGCACACAGCAGAGAGCAAGGGGCCACACAGTTCCTGCCACCCATCACGGGGCTGGCATACCAGTGTGGAGAACCCACAACAAGTATGGTAAATAGGCCATTGGAGGGCCTGCAGAAGGTGGGGAGTGCCCTGGGGACAGGCAGAGAAGAGCAATTTGGGCAGAGGGAGCAGGTCTGCAGGAGCTCTGAGGTGGGTGCCCTGGGCTGTGGCTGAGGGAAGCAGAGGAAAGCAGATGTGCTCAGAGGGCAACAGGAACGTAGAAGTCTTTTCCCATCTTTGGCTCTTACTCTGAGAGAGGGAGACCACTGTAGCATTCTGAGCAAAGTAGAGTTGTGACCTACCTTATGTTTTCACTGTTGTGGCTGCTGAGCGGACAGCAGGCTAAAGTGGAGTGAGGATAAAACAGGGAGCCTGGAGTAAGGCGAGCGCAGCAACCCATGAGGGACGCATGGGAACACACAGGAGAATATGGCCAAGAGTGACTCAATGCATGCCCTTCCTGGCAGCCCAGGTATAGCCCTCAGGACATTGCCTGTTCAGTTGGCGAACAATTATTGACCACCTTGGCCTGGCCACCAAGTCCTCTTCAGCCCTCCTCAGCCTACCTATGTCTGTAGCAACTTTTCAGGGAGTGAAAGTGACTACATCTTGTCTGCCACCAAACCTATTCACATTTAGTACTTGGACTTTGTCCTGGAGCCCCCAACTCCTGCACCAAGCATGGTGGATAGGCTCTTCTCAGCAGCCCCTACACATCATCTTTAGCTGTGCTGGTTAAGGGTCCAGGACCCAGTCTGATGTCAGAGCACACATACTCCTGTGAATTTCCAGAGGGACAGGAAGGTTCAGTTGGCTGGAGTGGTGGGGACAGGGCAACACCTGCCAGGCTGGGGGTGGTGAGGGATGGAGGCACAGGGGCACCTGCTGGTTTGTCCTTGATGGTATTTTAGGAGAAGGCTGCTTCTCAGAGCAAGCACAGCTTCTTTTCAGCCTTTCTCATCCTCCTCTGAGGCTTAAAGAACAGGTGTGGGGGTGTGACGTGTGCCAGACCTGCCTGTGCTGATGCTGGGGCTCCTGGCAAAATGCCAGAGAGGGTCAGGCCCTTGTCTCAGAACCAGGGAGCTATTGGGGGGCAGCTCTAAGGGACAGCAGCTGGTATCTACCCACTGCTGGACCTGCTATGGCCTCCTAGGGTCCTCTGGGGGTTGTGCTTTGTCTGATCAGAGCTCAGGCCCCAGCTCCCAGTCCAGGTGCCCAGCAGGTCATGTCACCATTTGGATTATATGTTACATTGTTCTGAAAATGAAGAGTGCAGTTTAGAGGCTTCAGGGAGGGGCTCAGGTTTTGCAGGAATGGGGTAGAAAAATTGGGCCTCTTTTATGATATGATCTCAGCCACTTCAGGTGCTAAAGCCACAACATCTTATTATTTTTGGAGCACATTTTAAAAGAATGGCCATTTTACCAACACTACGTCCAAAGCACCTTTACACCTCATGTGGGGCACCTGCCTGAGAGGTGTCCTCCACCTGCCTGCTCTTAATAGACTGAGGCTGACATTCAGCAGCTGGGGGCATTAGTTCAGAGTCCTGTGCCAGGGTAGGTCAGAAGGCAGGACACAGCCAAGTGTCCTGTCTTTACCAAATACCTAAACCAGGACTGAAGTGCCCGCCCCCTCTCCATCCCACCCCATGAAAAGCCACTATCTGAAGGAAGGATGTGACATGGAGGGGCTTCCCCTTGGTTGGAGGCATTCCAGCTGCATAGATCAGGATCTAAAAGCTATCACAGGGAGAAATTATTGTTAACTTTTTAATAAAAATGAAAAAGTTGTAGAAAAATTAAAATTAAAGATATATTTTTTTAAATGGGAATAGTATCCCCAAATTACAACCATTTACACCAAGAAGGGGGTAAGAAAATGAAAAGAGAGATCTTGCCAGCAGAAAGTGGGCCTGACCCTGGCTCATCCTCCAGCCTGTCTGGGTCAGGCTCACCCACTGTGGTGTCTGTCCCTCCTTCCCCTTCAGGTACAGAGTGGTGGTGTCATACCCACCCCAGAGTGAGGCGGAGATAGAACTGAAAGAAGGCGACATTGTGTTTGTGCATAAGAAACGTGAGGATGGCTGGTACAAGGGGACCCTGCAGAGGAATGGCCGCACAGGCCTCTTCCCAGGCAGTTTCGTCGAGAGCTTCTGAGGATGAACTCTCCACAGCCCTTCACCAGGGAAGAAGGCCTTCCAGGAAGCCCCAAGGTGCAAAGAGAGCCATGACACTCAAAGTTCCCAGGTGCCTTCTAAGGCTCCTGGCAGGGGACACCACAGCCTGGGGTGGGGGCCCAAGGGTGTGGAGGTTGTGTCTCCACTCACAACCCCTAACCAAGAGCACACGCTGGGGTTGTTCTTGGACAAGATGCCTGTTACTCCTATGTGAACTATAAAGAAATATCTTTGGAGAGAGAGAGAGGTGCTAATGCAGGTGGACTTGCTGCTGTGACTTCTGGCAAGCAGCCATGTCTTGGTGTCTCCCTGTGCAAGTTTGGTAGCTACAGAGGGCTGCTGGACGGGCAGTGGGTAGGGGGCCCGACCGTTTGCAGAATGTCTTCGTGGGCTCTCTGGGCTACATGTGGGGTTAAAATTGCTCCATCACTTCACTTTATAGCTCAGCCACCTGCCACCTGGCTGCTCAGCAAGAGTGTTCCTGGCCATGGGCCTCCACAGAGGTACCTCTGTCCCTGGGAAAGTGACACACAGCTCCTGTGGGGCTCAGGCAGCTCCCTTTGGGCTCTGTCTCTGCCAGTATTATGAACAACACTTGTTGGCTGACACTGTCCCTTTGCATCGCTTCTTTCTTACATCTTTTTAATGTAAAGCTGTTAGACTTTATATATTTTTAATCAGTCACACAACTGCCTATTTTTCATGCATCTGGTGCTGCCTTTTTGTAATGACTTGGTTGAACTTAAAAGAAAAAATGTCTGAGGAAACATCAAGTAGGCAGAATTTTTATATTTACTACCTGAATTTTGGAGAACTCTGAAAAGTCTGCATTCTCAATACAATAGTGTTGGCTGCTGTTCCACGGGATAAGAAGGAATCCATTTAGGGGGTGTAAGGGAATTTGGAAAAAGCCAATTTCTTTAAGCCCTTATCAAATTCCCATGCTCTGTCTAGACAGTGATAATTATTATTCATGAATTGGAAATATTTGGAGGAAATGTCACTATAATTGCGTTTTGTGTGGTGGTACGAAGGACATGAAGGTCAACTCCATCCTAAAAATGTAGAATTTCACTTTTATTTCTTTAACAACAATGACTACAGTGAACATTATCAAATTATGATTTCTCACTATTGAAATGTGGTTTTTACCACAGTTTACAAAACCTAGTGAAGTTTTTGCCTTTTTAAAAAATACACAACTGCTCCCCTATCAGGCAGTGTGAACCTTGGTCTGGATGTTAGAGGTACAATGAGGATAACAGGAATGAGTCATCTCTGCAGACTGGAGGGCTGGGGAGCTGGAACAAGGGGAAAAGAGGAAGGGGCAGCTCTAACCCAGAAGCCTTCACCTAGGTGGGGCCCAGGAGACATATTTGTGAGTCCAACAGCCTACAGTTGCAGACACTGCCTACAGGAGCCCAGTCATGACGCAGTCTTGTTTTCGAGATTCACACCTTAGGAATACATTCTTATCTGTTCAAAGTCACAATTTGTAAACCTTCTCTCTATATTTTTACAAAATCACTCAGGTTTAAATTAGGCTGAATAAATTAGCCTTTGGTAACATAAGATCTTCCTGATTTTTAGGGAAACAATGAAATCCAGAAACACATTTCCTCACCTGGCAGGGTGCTTCCAATACAAATGCTTTTTTGCAGAGTTCCTATTCTGGGATGTGGCTTGGAGGTACATTACTGCCCAGGGGGCTACTGGTGGGATGCCCTAAAGTCTCATTTCCTCTCTGGTAATAGATTGAATAGACTTGAGAAAGTTGTTCTGAATCAGAAAAAAATACAGTTTAAACATACAGAGCTCTGTGCATGAGTTAATGACAACCAGAGGGTACCCATTTGCCATGAGTTGCAAACAATTGCAAAAATTATGTGCATGTTTAAAATCATGTCATCACCAAAAACACACATGGCTTAACATGCTGACTGAGGCAAGTGCTCTCCGCTGAAACCAGGATTAACTCAATTGTACATATAAGAAAAGTTTTTTTGTTTTTTTTTTTTTAAACTGACAGCTTTACCAAGCAACACAATAAGCTAACTTGGACCTTCTTTCCTCTCATGGCCAACACTCCACATGACACTCATAGTAGATGGGAAGTGCTGAATAGCTCAGCAACTGTGGGTAAGGTGGCAGTCCACAGGGCCTACCACCCCTCACAGCAGAGCTAGGGAAAATGATCAGGGTCTCTGCAAGTCATCAGTTGGCTCTACTCATGGCAGAGTCAGGGCAGCGGCGGGGTGGAGGGCACCCAGAGCAAATGCCAGGTATCCAGAGGGCAGGCAGGTACACAACAGGCCCCATATTTTAGGCTAACTTTTCAAACACATTCAGTCAGATCCATCAGCCTTCATGATCATTTAACCTGAAGACAAGAGAAGGATTAAACCCTTCCTTCAGGCCATCTTCCTGGAAGGGCACATTCATTTTGTTTACTAAGGTGAAACAACACCTAATCTGAAACACTCACATTTCACCCTAGCCCAGGGACTTTCACATCCAGCCACCACTGAGAGAGGTCAGTGGACATCGAGGTGATGGGCACATGAGGCCACCAGAGAACTATGGGAGGAAAGTGGGGAACTAGAGCCAGGCATGAGCTTCCCTGACTCTGCTGCCCCAAATAAGCTCAGCAGCCTCCCTGGGGATTTTTTTGTACTTTGCACAGTTCATACACATATACACAACAATGTTTTTGTTATATACAAATGTCATTGTGTGAATTTGGAAGAATTGACAGTGTTGACAAACTATGATGCCTGTGTTTCTTTGTCTTTAAATAAAAATGAACATAGAGAGGTCTCATATCTTGGTGGTGGGAGCAGTGAGATGGGGCAGGGGCTGAGAGGACTTGAGCAGAAACACCCAGCTTGGTAGGAGCAAAACCGAGAAGGCACCATCCCATGTCCCTGCTGGCTAGCCTGCTGGCTCACACACCTGTCACCTAAGAGTGCTTCCTTGTGGGGGACATGAGTCTGTGTCAGGGTGGTGGGCTGCTGAACAGACTGAAGACATCAGACAGCTGTGCCAGAGATCCCAGCCTGTGCCAGAGATCCGCTGGCTGGGTGGTAGGTGTCGAGCCACAGGTTGACTTGGCATGAAGGATACCTAGTGTCCTCCAGGGGTTCATTTGCCTGAAAGGTTTATTCCTTTGACTTTCTGCTGATGACTTTTGTGTCAGTAGTTATTCAAGTTCCTGGCAACCAGGAGTGTCTGGTATTGACCTCTAAGACCAGCACTCTTGCAGCCCTGCCCTCGTCTGTCTGGCCTTTGGGATCACAGAGAAGAGGGTGCCTCGAAGTCACAGACAGGAGGGATTTCAGGAGACTACCAACCTTCAGAAAAGGTGGTCCTGGCCCAAACCAGCCAGATAGACTACTGCCGGTCAGAGGGCTATCCTGGCAACCAGACACATGTCAGATGTTTCCAGAAATAGGTTTTCACTGCCTTCCTAGGCAACAAAAATGCCTATATTCTTTGACTGTCATAGGCATGCTTGAGCTAGAAAGAAGTATAGCAAAAAACCACTATACTCTTCTGTAAAAATGGGATGGAACTTGTGCAAGATTAGATAACATATCATGAGTTACAAGCAGGGAGGACAGTGAGGGCCCAGAACTCCAGCCAGGAAGCATAGCATGTGTTCACCTACATCTCCCAACAAGCCTGGTAAAAAAAGTCCTTACCTTCATTTGCTACATGAGAAATTAAGGTTAGAAGAGATTGAAATAATTGCTCCAGATCACAAAGCTCATGGGACTCAAATTCAAGTCTACTTCTCCAAGGCAAAGCTGAGTGCTAACCCTCTGCCCTCTGTAGCGAGCGCAGGAAGAGCAAGGCCAGAGGACAAGTGGGCAGTGCCCATCACTGTCTGTCAGGACAGTGGCAGGCCAATGCAGCAAGTTGACCAATAGGGATATCCTGACTCTAGAGATGGACATGCCAACCCCTCAGAGCCTGTGCCATTGTACACTGAAATCTCATAACACATTCCCATGTTCTGAATCCATACTAAAAAACAACTAATTTCCCTTTGCTGGTCTAACACCCAATGGGAGAACAGTGTGCTTGTTGGAACAGCTCAACCACTCAGTCTACGAAGCAGAGACATTTCCCATCACCTACCAGTGTACTGGGGCTTCAGTGAGGCCTTGGTTGGTCCCTGTGAGCTTTGTAAGCAAGGGTTGCATCTCTGCCTCTAACAAGGTTGTATAGTCTCACTGAAGGAGCACTAGGTCTTATTTCCCAGGGGAGAAGCTCATTGGGCCACCCCTTCATTTAAAGTTCCCTACAAAAAGCCACACTGGGTGCTGCAGTGTGATGGATGGAGAGTGAGAGCAGTTCGCTCCCACCAAAGCTATGAAGACAACACAATGGCCAATCCAGAAGAGCCCTCTGAACAATCCTTAAGGATTCTCAGGAGCAGAAGCCCAGGCTTTCCAAATGGAGAGGCTAAGATACTATCTAAAACCTTTTATTTACAAAATGTCTTCACAAGCTTATCTCACTTTGTCCTTAAACACCACCATTTTGTAGATGAAGAAATAGAGACTTAGTAACATTATCTTATTAGCTCTGAGTCCAGTGACTGGCAGAAGCAGGACATCTGACTTCCAATATCTGGCCTTTTTTCAATGCAGCAGAGATCCTAAAACAATTATAGCAGCCAACACTTAGTTTCTGTCTGCACTAACCACCGTCTGAGTTCAAAGATGGAGAAATGAAGGCAGCACAATGCTTGATGCCTGGGGTAAGACCACATGCTAGGATGAGGGACATCTATGCTGTGTCCCACAGGTAAGGGAGCTGTCGATGGTTATGAGTTGAGAGTGCCTGCTGTGAGCTGTACCTCGGAGTACACCTGGGCCTGTACTAGAGGGAAAGATGAACAGGTGTGCTCCAAGTTCCCTTCTAAGACTGTGAAAATGTGTCTCCTCTTGCTCATATCCTACATGTAGAGGCAGAACACAGAAGCCCTCACAAGGTGTGACCTGTTCAGAGAAAGCACTGACCCAGTCACCACCTCTGGATCTTGTCAAGACCCTTATTATTTTGAACATGTTGGAGTTATCTTCTCATTTCCACTTGACATTACACTTCCAATTGGTTCTCTTAACTTCTCAAAGGAGGCCACACTCAGATGCCCACAAGAGACTGACTCTTTGTCCTGTGGGCTGGAGGTGCCTGATTCAAGTTGAGTTGTAGTCACCCCAACTCCAAAGCTGGCCC